CATTCACATACCCCCGTCCTCTGTCACCGTCTGAGATTTAGTTCCCATCCTACCGGGTAGCGCCCCTCAATCCTTACCAGTAACGATCCCAGCCCTTATTCTGGAACATCTTCCTTCCGCTACCTGCGGAAATCCACTACCCCACAAAACCCACCATGCCGGCACCACATCCTCTGAGGGTGCTCTTTCCCATGAATATCCCCCACCCACCCAGCCCCTCAGTCTCTAAACTTTCCTGGGGCTCTCTGCCCTTCATCCCACTGTCTCCCGAAGGCCGCGCAGCCTGTACGCAGTACCTCTTTCTCGGCCTGCTCCTCACCTGCCTGCTGTTAGGGGTGGCCGCCATCTGCCTGGGAGTGCGCTGTGAGTATGGCTGCTCCCCATTTCCCACTTGCCCCAAGCAATTTTTTCCCCTACTCTCCCCAACAGCTGCCCTTCCTCTGGGCAGGGCCCAGAGTCACTACCACCATATCCTTAGCTTTTCGTCTAGTTTCTAGCCAGGTCTGTTTTAGAGTGTGGTGTCTTCCTAAATTTTCTTTACCTAATCCAGTACCTCCTTAAGCTTGAGGCAGTCAGATCTTATATTTCAGCCTGTTTTGCAAAAATTTGCAAGAATCAGAAAAAGGACTGATGCTGAAGTCTCAGGGCACCAGGGCATGGCTCAAGAAGATGTCCTCCAAATCTCTCATTATGGCGGAACAGATCTGCAGGTGTCTCAGCAGCTCCAGCAGACGAACAGTGTTCTGGAAACCACTAACAGCAGCCTGAGACAGCAGCTCCACCTAAAGATAACCCAGCTGGGGAAGAAGGAAGAGGATCTGCAGGAGTCCAGGAGGGAACTAGCCCAGAGTCAGGAAGCACTACAGGAGGAACAGAAGGTTTGCCAGGCTACCCAAGAGCAGTTACAGGCCTGCTGGTCTGAGAAGGAGAAGACAAAGGAGGCCTTGCAAAGTAAGGAGGTGCAGAGGATGACCTTGGAGCAGAGGCTGAGCAGCATGCAGGACACATTGAAGCCCTTATTCACATGCCCCTCAGCAGGTATCCGCTCTGGGAGAGGAGAGATGGGAGGGTCTGCTCTGAGGGATGGATTGAAGTGAGGAGACACTCGTGGCAGGGGTCTATCTTTCAGGGGGCCATTGAGTTGTTGAGGAAAGGGATAGCAAGTGAGAGTGGTGGCCAGCAGAGAGGAGGATCAAGCTGCTTTCTGGATTTAGGGCGGCTCACAGAACTCTCAGGCAGATCCTGAAGGAGGAAGGAGGGTGGCTGCTGGAAATGCAGATCACACTGTCCAAACCACCAAGCTTGGGTCTCTGCCCTTGATATCAGTGTCAAAGATCTGGGAACCTCCTGAGTTGGGACGTGGAATTGGTTGTTTGCACATTTTTCTAAAGAGAGGGTCTATAGCTTTAATTATTTCTCACTACATCTGAGATTCCCCAAGGGTTAAGAATTACTGATTGATGACGTGCGGTGTGGCGGTGGGGCAAGGTAGCTGAAGCTCTCAGGTGTGGGTGGCACTCACAATGAGGTGGGTGGGGGTGAGGTGGGAGAGGGAGCTGGGGTGGAGAGTTCATCTCTTTTGAAGGCAGGAGCCCAGGCAGTATGTGGGGAGGAGGGAGGGGGCCACAGAAAAGGGGAGAGGCTGTGCAAGAAGCAGGCTGAGGTTCAGGCAGGGAGCCAGGCCCAAGGTGACTGGAATGTTCATGCACCGGTTACCTATGGTCCAGGTTCGGCTCTGTCTAGCTCAGGGGGCATCGGGAGACTCCTCAGTCCCCGCCCCCCCCCCGCAGGCTATTCCCTCAGCTGCACCCCAGACCTCAGCTCTTCTGCTGGAAGGCTGGTTTCAGACCTCCACTCTGACTACAGCTGCCTCCTCCAGGCTTTCCCCACACTTCTTCTTCAACCTCATTGATGCCTCCAACCCACTGTCTCCCGTTTCCTCCCTTTGCCTCGGCTGTCACTTCTCTGTCTGCCCATCTTGCCTTCTGGGGCCCATCACTTTAGCCACTGGCTCCTTTGTTCTGTTGTCTTTCTGGTGCACCAGAGTGGCAATATCTCAACTCTGGATGAATTCCCCCCTTGCCCCTGCCGCACCCAGGTGTGCCGTATTGTGTTATCATTCTGCTTGGTGCCACCAAAACTCTAGTGTCAACCTCAGCCCGTTCCTCAGGGCCGCCTGGCAGCTGTGCAGTGGTTGGCTTGCTCTCCGTGTGAGCTCCTTAGCCTCCCATCCTCTCGCACTTTTAGCAGGTGCCCTGCTCCGTCAGAATTTCCTCCATTTTCCACCACCGAGTCCATTCTCATTTCTGCCCACCCCCATCTTTTGCAAGGATCACTGCAATGGCTTGCTGCATCATTTCTCCTAAACATCGCTCCCCCCCTCCCCCCATCCACTTGTCACGTGGCAGCCAGGGTAATCCTTTAAAAACAAAAATCTGATCATGTCATTCCAGTTAATTACATCAAAAGTTATGGCATACATACCATACGTCCAAGCACTGTGCCCAAGCACTTGGGATATAGCCAGTGAACAAAACTTCTCTATGTAAAACCCTACATTGACTTACTCTTCCTTGTAATATGAAAATAAAAAAATCCTTAGCCTGGCTTCCAAGGTCCCTGCCTACCTTTCAGCATGCCACTTACCCTCTCACCCTCTTCCATTTGGCCGCACTGACTTTGTATCCTTTTAGTTGCCATAGGACAGAAATTCAAGAGGGTAGCTGGGTGAGGACAAGAGACAATGTAGACAGAAGAGAGGGAGCTGGGGAAGGAAGGAAGGAAGGAAGGATCTTTGAGTGCCGCAGGTAGGACTCCTGGAATAAAGCAATGAGAGAGGTGGGCTGCGATCAGGAGCACAGATTGGGGTATGGGTTGTGAAAGAAAGAGGGATGTTTCTTGCTTAGAGATAGGAACTGAGGAACAGAGCAGAGGCAGGTTTTGGGGTGGAAGGGAAGGAAAGGGAGAGAGTTCACATCAAGAGTCTGACAATTTCAGCAGAACAGCAACCAAGGTTATTACTTGTAGAAGAGTGGTGAGAGGGAAGGAGGTGGCTAGCAGCTTGGAGGGTGTGATCAAGTTTTGAATATGCAGCGAGGAATGCTTTAGGGAGCGATTGGGATGATTAAGAGGCCAATTGAACACTTATGGGGGGCCCAGGTGAGGTCAGCCAAAGTGTGGGGGGGAGACTGCAATCATTCAGAAATTGGGAATAGTATCACCACCCTATTAAAATAAACCTCCTAGACTGTTAAGGAGTGAGGTTGTGAATATTAAAGACTTTTACTAAATATGAATAGGAATGGCATTCCCAGGGGATGCCAAAGACAGATGGCAAAGATGAAGGGCTAGATGTCAGTGAAGGTGCCGGGACTAGACCAAGGTGGGCACTGTTAGCAACCAGACTGAGGAATCGTCACTTTCATCCCAAATGAGGAGATCTCCCTCCTGGGTCTGGGCTGTGCTGTCACTTTCTTTCTGGTTTATAGATACCTGCTGTCCCGTGGGATGGATACTGAACCAGAGGAGCTGCTTTTACATCTCATATACGGAGAGAAGTTGGGAGGAGAGCCAAAACCACTGTAAATCTCTGTCCTCTGACCTGGCCGCATTCGGTGACACTTCTTATTCTTTTTCAGTAAGCATACCTTATTCACAGACTGTAGCGGGTACTGTTAGGTAAAGGGATAGATGTCATCGAGTCAGGAACAGCAATGCACACAGGGCACATGTTCCTTGGCCATGCAGCTTCTCAGCACAGTGCTCCAGGTGGCCCCTACCAACCGGCCGGTGTTGGCACTAGAGTCAAAGCTCATGAACCATCTTTACTTGAAACTGTTTCTCATCTCAGCTTTCTGGTCACCTTCCCAGGGCTGCTTAACAGCTTCTTTGACTCTCTTGGCCTCTCAGGCAGAGAGGTCCCATATCTGGTGGGCTGGATTGTTGGGATTGGCTCCTTATGACCAGAGCAGCCCATGGAACGACTCCCCTTCAAAGGCTGGCAGAAATTCTTACCCAGCTGGGAGGTGAACTGAAGGGCGAGCCTGCATCTACAACCTGGCGCTCGAAGGCCGCAGGGACAGGTCACCGATGAGCTGATGTCTTGCGCCAGACAGTCCTCTTGTCAAAGCTCAGAGACCTCCCTCTAGTGCTCATTTTCTTCCATCGGCCCACATCCCCTCCTCCCTACACCGCCCCCCCTGCACTGGAATATTTCTCATCGTTCTCCACATACCTCTTGTCTCTCTGAATCTCCCCTCAGCTTACAAACTCCAACAGTGCAAGGAAGATATTGACACAAATTAGTCCGCCTGGTTCATTTTGGGCTGTTTCCAGCTTTAAGAGGTCGCAGCAGGCTGATGGTAAACAGGTCTTTCGGTAAGTCTGTTAGGACTTCTGGACATATTCAACTCCATAATTCCTTCATAAAGACATAGTAATGAGATTCCCCTCCTGCTCCCAAAGTTTTGGGAGGTCCTGCTCTCAAAACTCTTTCACAAGTCAATATTGTAATTGCCTACTTGTCCATTCCCTTTACTTAAAACTCTTTAGGACAGTCTTCTTTTCTGGCCCCTTCCCAGTACCTGGCAGTCCCAGGCACTTTTTTTTTTTTTTTTTAAGTTACTGAGTTGGGACCTATGTCGTCTTTCTCTCAGAGGGAGAAGCTGAGGCTTTAGCTAGGACTTCACAGCTCATGAACCCTGGCATTCTAACTTCCCATCTCTTGACAAGGCTACCCAAACTGAGGTGGCACTTTCTCAGTCAGGGCCTCTTGGGGCACTATAGTTGCCTCAGGGAAGTGAGGGAGCAGTGGGATAACTCTGAAGATCAACTCCAGGGACCCTGAAAGAGGGGAGTCATCTCCTATGTTCCCTATGGAGTTTCCATCTTTAATATCTTGGGTGATTTTTCCCTCCCCTGGTCCTAAAGCCTCTTTGAGTTAGAGTAGACATCTGTCCCTGAACCATACCCAAACATTGCCCTTAGGCAGGCAGGGCAAGTTAGAACTTCATTGTGTTTAATGCAGGGCAAGGGGAGAGAAGGGAGGGTGGGAGAGGAGGGGCAGGGCTTAACCCAGTTCTACCTCGCCAATCTATGTATTATGGTCAAAGCTCAGGATGTTACAAGGTACAAAGCAAGTGGCTAAGAATGCTGTGGGACGACTGTACTTCTCCTCATCCCTGCATCTGTGAGATGGCAGCTTTCAAGCATCCAGATAGGGACCACTTTTCGCCCTGAGTTGGGTAAGCATGACAAATCGACTGAGGCATGGGAGTTGGGGACGAGGGAGGGAGAGGAACTCAGAGCAAGGGCTCAGAAGCCAGGGGTAAAACTTATTCCTGAGAGTGACGGTCACCTCTACAGCCTTCAAGGTCTTGGTCTGCTTATGTAAGGGGGGTCCTGGGGTCGGGCAGGAAAGGTCTGGAACTGAAGGGAGGCTGGTGATGTGGCTGTCCAGGGAGGTGGGATGAGCTGGATGAATGTTCTTAGTAACAGTCAACTGCAGAGCTCACTGGTGCTTTACTCTTATAGGTACTCTTGCCAACAAGAGCCTGTACCCCTCACCCCTAACTGCAGTCTGCAGGTCCTAAGATCATCTCCCTCCAGCGTCCCGTCACTCTGCCTGGGCAGTGCCCAGGCAAGGGCTGATCCATGCCCAACACTTCCAGCCAGCCTGCTGCCTGCTTGAAATCCTGCCCCAGAAACTGGACTGTTTCTGGGAAACGGGTGAAGAAGTCGTTAGATTTTGGCCTCCCCAAGAACTTCCTATGGTGGAATTGCAGGGGGGTGGAGGAGGGCGCATGGACTGAGTGGATAGGGGCAGCCCGGAGCCAGCCAGGCAGTTTTATTGAAATATTTTTAAATAATTGCACGTGTTAGTCTCATGTGTCAGCAATGCTTTGTCTGGTTCAGTGATCGCCCACAGGAGAGCAAGCCCAGGGGCTGGATAGGAAACGTTCTGTCCCTTGAATCCATGCTGAGGTTCCCCTACACGGGGAGAAGAGCCGGTCAGCCCATCTGGGGCTGGCACTGTCCAACATGTGTGCTCTGTCCTCACGGGGCTTCCTGAAGGCCAAAGTTGGAGGCCAGAGACCACAGGCCCCACTGCTAAGAGCGCGCCCCGGGCAGCTGCAGGCCGGGTGTGGGAGGCTTGGCGTGGTGCCCTCGGTGGCAGAGGAGACTGCCCGCCTCACAGTTCAGGTTGCGGTAGCGGGCAACAGCTGGTGTGGGGCGGGGGCACATGGACAGGAAGCCAAAGCTGAAAGGGCCAAGACAGCAGCCGGGGCAGGGCAGTCCCTCATCAGACTCCCGGGGAGCTGAAGGGGGCGGCGAGGGTTCTGTCCGCTCCAGGGCTGCTGCCCGGGGCAGGCTATGCTGGGCCCGGTTCCATGGCTCCCCAGCCCAGCCTTGTGGGGAGTTCACCACAACAGCTGGGGGGTTGTTGTTAAGGACAGGTCCCGATCTAGGGGACCAGGGCTGGGAGGCTGAGGAACAAGTGCTGATGAAGTTGTCTGTGGCCACGGCCAGGGGCAGCTGGGGAGCTGGTCCTGGGGGTTCTGGCTCAGGGCTACTGCCCTCACACTCCATTCTTTCTTCAGCCGAGGGGCCCATACTGGGAGGGCCAGGACCTGGCAGTGCTGTCTCCATACGTCGGGGGAGCTCAGGGGATGATGGGAGCGAGCGGCAGCGACGGGCAGGTGTCCCAGGGTGGATCAGGGTCTCTGGAGTGGTCACCAAGGGCAGCTGCGTGGAGGGCAGTGGTGATGGTGGAACAAGGGGCAGGGGGCCGACTGGCTTGCTGGGTGTGTCCAACAGCTTGATCTTGCCTCCCCGGAGGTCTTCCCGGAGTGAGAAGGGGTTGACACGAGTCAGATTGTCCCCCCAGTTGGGGGGTGATTCTGGTGACGGGGGCAGGAAGAGGTCTGACCGGCTTCGGGAAAGCCGGGGGTCTGGCCTAGGAAGTGTGGCAGAGGGACCCCCTCTTGAAACAGACCCTGTGGACAGAGAAGTCTGTGGTTACTGTTCTCAGCATTGATCATGGCTCCCTGAGGCCTCATTATTCACCAGGAGGCTGGTGGGACTAGAGCTTACAAAAGGGAGTCCCATTGGGTACTTTGGACAGGGGGAGATGTCACCTCTAGCCCTCCTTTACCTCTTCTTTCCTTCTTCCCCTCCCTTGGCTCTAGAATTTGAAAATATCTTATTTTATGAAAATATCTTTCATACCCCCACATCCCCCAACTAATAAATACACTTAGTCTTAATCCCCTGAGTTCTAAGGAAGAGGCAGAAGGAATTCAGTTGGGTCAAGGTCATGCTCACTTACTCTGATTGTGTGTCAGGGGAGCTCTGGTGAGGGGGGCTGGCTCAGGCAGCTGCTCCAGGATCCATTCCAGATGCTGGGTGATTTCGGTGAAGGGAGCACGAGTTCTAGGTTCCATCTGATGGGTAGAGACAGGGACAGCTTCACTCAGTGCTCCAAAAGGGGGTCCCTATGTTTTCCTCCCACCACCTGGAACAGGAAAGCCTTGCCAGCTGATGGATGGGGGTGGTGGGCAGGGAGAGAGAGGCTCTTACACTGCAGCAGTGGATGGCCAGAAGCAGGAAGGGCAGTGGGCAGTCATCCCCTACCAGGGTCCGGAAAGCAGGCACATCCAGGCCAAAGTCCTGTGGGGACAGAGAGGAGGGGCCTTCAATTCAGCTTTCCTTGGGTTCGCCTTCTGACCCCCAGTCAGGACCTCAACCTCCAGGGAACCCTCCTTGGTTATGAGCTGCCCAGTCTGGAGCTCCCCCTTATCAAACCTGGAGACATCATTCACCTCAGTTCGGGGTAGGTAATCTGGGTCCGCAGGTACTCGTGCAATGAGCTCACAGAGGACAATCCCAAAGGCAAAGACATCGGCCTGGGGGGAGGAGACAATGTCAGCGGGAGTAACTGATGGTTTTCATGTCAGAATTTTGTCAGAATATGTCAGAATTTGGGGGAAGTCTTGATAGTTTTATGCGTTGGAGGGGTGCCTATGAGGGGGCAAGGGGGAATTTGGGGGTCTCCTAAATATTCAGTATGGCTGTTAAAGAACTTGGGATGGGGCCTTATAAAAGTATCTCAAGGGTCTCTGGAAGGCCTTGGAATCTGAAGGATTGATGTCTTACCTTCTCATCATACAGCTCACCCCGCAACACCTCTGGAGCCATCCAGTACGGGGAACCTACCACAGCCAATGGCTCCTTTCTTGCCCCTTCCCTGCAGGGGTAGGGGCAGAGTGATCAGAGACACCCCACTCAGATAACCCCCCTAAACAAAAAGGGATGAGGTCAGCCCCCTCCCCACTCCAAAGGAAATGTCTCTGGGGGCTTCACTTAGATAGGGACTTTCTAGAAAGTTTGGGGGGGCCCAGGGGCATTCACCTCACCTATACACAGGAATCTTTTCAGCTAGCCCGAAGTCACCCACAACAGCCGTGAAGCCTCGGTCTTCCCGTCGGATCAGACAGTTCTGACATACATATAGCCATCACCTTCTGTTCTCTGATCTCCCAGTATATACCCCAAAGCCCTGTCACTCCACAGTAACCCCAACCCTCTCTGATCTCCCAGTTCTCCAATGCACCCCAATCTTTCAACATCATCTATCACTCCAAACATAGCGTGGTACTCAGCCCCTCAGAGCTCCCCCTCACCCCAGTCCCCATTCTCCAGGGCCTTGCTACTCCGACATCCTAACAGGTCTACTATCCATATTCCAACATCTATGGGCCGGTTACAATGTAATAGCCTCAAATCCCCTTTCATGCCTCCACCCACCTGGCCAGCCTACCTTGGATGTTAGGTCTCGGTGGAATACACCTTTGGCATGCAGGTACCGCAGGCCGCGGGCAATGTCCAGAGCCAGGCGGAGCCTGACAGGCCAGGATAGGGGTTCTGGGGAGCTGAGCAGCTGTTCCAGGGTTCCCCCATTCATATACTGAGGCATAAGGGAAGAAGGGGAATGAATGTTAAGGTTTCTGCCGGTACTCTAGGTCTCCCACTTATAAGCCAGGGGACACTGAGGAGGAGGGATCACAAAGGTCAGAAGGGTAAGTCTGTGCTCTAGGGTCCCCCACTCATATTCTGGGGCTGTCCTGTCCAAGACATGTGCAACTATTTAAATTATTAAGTTTAAATAAAATTAAACATTTAGTTCCTCAGTCACACTGGTCATATTTCTACTGCTCCCTAGTCACATGTAGCTATAGAACATTTTCATCACTACAGAAAGTTCTATTGGACAGCATTGTTATAGCGCATATAGAGAATGTGACCAACTGAGGCATTTTATTTGTGATTAGCCCAAAGGAAGTTCAGGGAAGCCTCTCATGGGAGGAGGTCCTGCCGCCTCTCAGTATTCCTCTGTAGATGCACTGGGCGCTGACACTCTCTCTCCCCTTGGTGGTGGTGGGGGTCCCCTCCTTCCTGGCCCATCCTCACCTCTGTAAGAGCGTGCAGCTGCCCCTGGTGCACACAGACCCCCATGAACCTGGAAGAGGATGGAGAAGATAGGAGGGTAGGTTGTAAGAGTCCAGGCCCCTCTACAGTTCCCACTTTTCCCGCGGGATCTTTCCTCTTCTCCCAGCAAGCTTCTCAGCAAGCGGCTGGGGCCGCTCACCTTAGGATGTTGGGGTGTCGGAGCCGGTTCATCAGCTGCACCTCCCGTAGCGTGTTTCCCCGGTTACTGGGGAGTCTGTTCATTTTCAGCACCATGACTTGCCCTGACTGTCGGTGCCTAACCTGGGGGCGGCATAGGCTGGCGAGTCCAGGGCAGACCGGCCAGGTCGCGCGGGTCGTCCGGGTCTGGGCCCCCTAGTTCCAGCCTCCCGTCTAAGGCTCGGTCCCGCCCCTCTGCTGATCCTACCTTGTAGACCTCAGAGAAGAATCCGGCCCCGATCTTCTCAGCGCAGTGGAAATCGTCCACGCGCGCCAGGCTGGACACGGCGCTGCGGAGAGCCCGGTAGGAGGAGGGGCGGCCCCGGCCCGGGCCTCCACCCGTGCCCCCCGGTCCTGGGGGCCCCTCCCCCGGCGCCTCTCCCGGCCCTGGCCCAGGGCCCCGCAGTGGGGGCCGTTCCCCGGCCATGGCCGGGCCCCCAGCCCGGGCCTGCTTCACATGGCAGGGTCCCCGGGGCCCGGGCAGGCCGCGCTTGCCATGGGCGTGCGCCCAGCCGGATCCGGGACGCCGGGGCTCCTGCTCCCGCCCTGGAGAATGGAAGATCCGCTGAAGATCTGGGCCCGCCCCCGCCGCGCCGGCTTGCAGGGCCCGGGTAGACGCCGCTCCGCTTCGCTCTGCGCAGGGACTGGGCCTGGGCCTGGGCCGGGCGGTGGCGGTGTCTCT